AGTGATGTCAAATTTGTCTTAAATTAAGTTACTGTATCAATCTTAATCCTCCCATGTCTTTATTTTTTTTTACTGAAAAGTGAAAATCTGTTTGACATGTCTTACGCCTACATCCTGGCACTTGCTCAAAACTTGCTTCTTACACAACCATAATGGATAAATCTTAGATAAATCTTAGAAAATTGAAATGTCGACGCCTTTAAGATTTTCCTTTTCCACAACTTTAATTTAATGAAGATTAATGACTTGGGAACGTTATGATTAATTACTTTAGCTTTTGGAAAGGAAGACTTTAAAATATTCAACAAAAAAGCTTCTTTTTAGCCACAAAATGTGACAAAAATAAAAATTGAAAAACTTTTTGACTTCTTTTCAATGTTTTTTTTGAACTTTTTAAAAGAAAAATGATGAAAAATCAAGCAATAACATTACAGATGAGGAATCAATGCCATATGATGACTTCCCACAGATCAAATCAAAGGATGTTAAAGGAACAAACAAAGCACACATGCGTTAAACTGGTGACAGCTTGATAAGTGTTTTGATAAAGATTTTTTCGTATTTCCACCCGATAATCTGTAATCTTATGTCTGGCAGGAAGCTTCATTAGTGCATCATTTTCGCGGATGCTTTGCAGACGGTTCTTGAGTTGGAGTTTACTCAATCAGATAATCATTACATAGATTACACAGATGATCATTACATAGATCTCATAGGTCTCGTATACCGCTAAGCATATGTCACTGTCATGCAGCATCAAACCTCCTTCATTCCTTAAAAGTTTGTACAAACCATTGTTTCCAAACAAAATCTGAGATTTCAACGTCTATATGCTACAAAATTCTATGCGTCAAAGCCATTCATATCGAAAACTTTACAGACATTCCATCTACTTCCCCAAAAATAGAGGAAATTGAAATTTTTTTCCATCAAGAACAACAAATTGCGTGTTTGTGTTTTCAGGCTTATCATGTCATTTCTAATGATTTGGTTTGCCACGAAATAAAGAATTCAGTCATATCTATATAATACCTCAATAAATTTCCTCTTGTGCTTCCCTTTTCTATTTGATTGCTGAATACTGTACATTAATGATCAAATGGCGAAATAAAATTTGATTGCTGTTGTTCACTTCCTGGTACTTTATTTGATGATAGCTTTTTTTATTTGTTTCGTGGGATGGGCGGAGAAGTTATTTCCGTTTTTGTTTATATTGTCTTTGTTTTATGGAAGATAAATGTTGAATTAATGAAACGAAAAGATGACTGTTGACGGCCATAATCAGTGTTTAATGTAATTTGTGAGTGGATATAAAAAATAAATCGGAACAGGTAAGTAATTGTTGGAAATATCTTGTATAAAACAACAACTACTTGAGGCAGGGCTTGAAGGGTCACTCACAGGCGCATAGCCAAGGGGGGGGGGGGGGGGGATATGAGGGACAAATCCCCCAACTTAAACAGAAATTTCTTAATTTTGCTATGGTTTTTAAGAAAAAATCCCCCCCCCCCCTTTCCATGCAAAAAAAAAATTTGTCACCCCCTCTTCAAATTCCTGGCTACGCCCTTGGTCACTCATTTTTAAAATTTCATATTTATTGTATATGACAGCCTGGAGCAGGAGCTTAATGTAGGATCGAATGTGGACCAGGAATCATGTTAGATGCTTCTCTAGTTAGATTGACTCCTTATTATTGAATTTTGTGTCATTTTAGTAAGGAAGCTCAAATCTGAAACCCGAATGATTTGGCTGTCGATCAGTTTTTGCTGACTTTTGATCAAAAAGCGGGACATTCCTCCATTTTAGCACTGAAAAGGTGGAACAGACCAAATTTTCAAGCATTTTCTAAGAAAAATATGTTCAAAAAAGAGGGAAATTTAGGATTTTAGGCGGGACTTGGTTCCCAACTTACCGATGATCCTTCCTGTTGCTCTGCTGCTGATAGCTTATTTTCAAGTGTGATGGCAAGGTTTTTTGGATGGGAACCGACCCCAGATTGTCTGTTTTTGTTGAGCTCTTGCTAGATGCTTTTATGTCAATCAAGCAAAACATTTATAAATGAAATTTTGCAACAGGTTGAAGAATCAACCATAAAAATCACATTTTTCTATGGACATCATTTACAAATGACTCTTTGCACGTGCAAAAATCCTCAATTAGGCAGCATGAAATCAGAAAATAGCTGTCATCAGACTAACAAGAAAATTATTTATTTATTTGGAGCTTTCTTTTTGCACAGCAAACATTGTTGTCATTGTCAAAATTAAGCTCAATTTGGGTAATTCTATATGACAGACAAATGAACTTTAAGGTATTCTTATTACATTCTCTTACTGATTGCTTGTTTTTATATCTTTTTCGAGATGATACAAAATAATATTCTATAAATATTTTAAGTACCTAATTTAAATCTCAATATCTCATCAAATATTCTATCAACATCACAGACTTTCCCTATGAAACTTGCGTGGATGTTTATGGAATTTTTTTGAGGTAAAATATTTTTTTGGAAGGTTCTAGAAAAAAATTTCAAATTATTATTTTTTTATTTATAAATTGTATTTTGATTTGTAAGGAGTTTGGGTTGGTCCTTAGAGCTCTCACGAGAATTGTACAATTTTAAACTATTAAAAGCAAGACGTGGAAACTCAGGATTAATCCTGAAAAATCCCAAAAATCCTTAAAAAATCGCTGAACCAATAAACATGGAAATGTGAAATCACTTTTAAATCCCTGATGCATTTGATGAATAACTTCGGGATTTAAGAGGGATTTCACATTTTCATGTTTATTGGCTCAGGGATTTTTTTAGGATTTTCGGGATTTTTCAGAATTAATCCTGAGTTTCCACGCCTTGATTAAAAGCAAGAATCTATCTCAAGGATTGCCTTTAGTCATGCCTTTGAAAAATTGCGTAAAAAAAAGGCACCTAAATGATCCTAATATAGATTTTGTCTAGGAAAAGGCATGCTTAAAATAGGCAGTGCTTAAGCATAGGCAAAAAATGTTGCATATTTTTAGGCAGTGCCATTAGCTAGATATTGGTCCCTATCTGACGACTCTGTCTATGATTCTTACATGTTCGCGTGCCGTCATGTAATCTCGTCATGTTTAATATATTAATAAATTGTGTTTGCAGGATATAATAAAAATGCTAATAAGACGAAGCCGATTCCTTTGAAGATTTTTATAGTAAAGGAACCAAAATTATCACATTTAGTCCTAGCTTAATGTTTTCATGAATAAGGAATGTAAGGCATAGATTGAGTTAATTTTTGAGGCGTTGTTTAAAAATGGCGTTTAGTAAAGCAATGAAGATGCTGAACAATTGAGCATTAAATTGTAAATTGAACAATCATTAGTTCCAAATCCTTTGCCTTATCCCCCTTTCTGTCTTAAAGTTTTCAAACAAAACTTCATTCCAACTTTAAAGTTGGCCATCATTTACATCAACGACCTGCAAAGAAATCACATAAAAATGTCAATTTCTAGAAAGATCAAGCCACACTTTGTAGCTTCAAGGACACCGATAAAAAAAATATTTTCGTCAAAATTTTCTACTTTTGTGTCAAATATTTATTTTGAAAAAATCAAAGCTCAGAGCTGCAAAGAAAGACTCTTTGACTTTATTACTTTTTGTCTGCCACTTTTTCTAGCTTGCTTCACAAAAAATTATTGTTATTCAATTTTTCATCATTTTCTAAACACAAAGGCAGCCTTTGGATACAAGAGTCTTCTAAGTGACAACATTTTTTAATTAATTTATTTCCGACATACGCACGGAAGAGCATAAAAGTTGATTTTAATGAATACAAATGAAGATGAAAACGATTCGATGACGAACAAATATTTCTTTTAGTGATACTTTCGTTTGTACTGCAAATATTAATTGACTGTGCAATCTTCGTGATAATGAATAATATTTAGTGTCAGTGTTGGTTTTTTGCACGTGGCCGTTCAAAGAACTTTTGGAAAGAAGCTGTTGACAGAGACAGTATTACACTTGGTATTGGTAATTGGCAAGCGGTAGCTAGCGATAGAGCCAGCTTCAGGCGCCATCTAAGGGAGGCCATGGATCACAATTGATCTGTACGGTTAGAGAAGTAAGTAAGTAAGTTGCTTTTTTGGAATTTCAAAAAATATGTTTGATGATTCTGGATCAATATAGAATCAATGTGGAACAGTGCATTCACTCAAGTGCTGTAATCCTGTTCCTGGGGTTGATTTTGGTCCTCTTAGTAAGTTTAATATAAGTTATGAATTGGGTACATACTAGAACAATGATTCGGAGCAACACAATGACAAGTATTGGACAAGTTGTATAATATGGCACCAGGGGCAGGTGTCTAGGGCTGCTAGGGTCATCTTTCCCTAGTCAGAGTTGATTTTTAATTGTAATCCATCTATTATAAGGCTATAGAAGTGTACCCCGGCTATTTTAAGAAAATGGCCTCAATCATTCGTGAAGGATGACTCCACAAATACTCGGTGGAGCATTGGAAAAAAGATGCATTTCTTTAGCTTTATATAAAATATTTCGGACACTTAAGTCGACTCTATGACTGTTTAAAATATATATTCTAAATTTAGTAAGCTTCAGTTCATCTCAGTTAGATTTATTCACTAAACTAGTCAATAGATGCAAAGTCTAGTCAACTCCTATCCTTCCGGCAATCTCAAACCAACTCTGCATCAAATCTCATCATGACAATGATTTTGTAGTTACAAAAAATTGATAAAAATAAAAAAAAAAGTGATAAAAAATAATTCTAAAAATACAACTTTGAGTATCATTCCTAATCACCAGCATCACTTAGTACGCATTTAACTGCTGGAGAGGATTGAGAGCACTTGACTTAAGTGTCACTTAAAGTACTTATAATCTGATCAAAAGATAATGTAAGTTTGCATCCAAAGTGCATAAGAGAATTTTCTCTCGAGATTTATTAAGATCATCAGTGACATTATCTTTAAAGCTATCGCTCATAAATAATATTTTCACTTCATTTTGTCGACTCGTGACTTGTGATAATAATTTTAATTTAGTTCTTTTAGAGATCTCGATGTGAAAAGTTCCTAGAACTTTGAGGGATCTCTTAAAATATTTTATAGCTGTGCATTAATCTTTTTTAAATTAGAAATGACGACTGAAAGTAGCGACCTTGCGTCATTAATTGACGAAAGTCCAAGTTCAAGATTATCTGTCGAGGATTTAAGTAATTCATTGAAAACATTTGGAAAATTAGATTATGCTGTGTTTGTGGCAATGTTATTATGCTGCTCGTGTGTCGGAATGTACTTTGGATATCAGGATCACATGAAGCATAAACGTCGTGCAAAAAATCGTCGTGGTTCATTAATAGATGTCGAAGAAATCGATTACTTGATGGGTGGAAGAAACATGAAAGTATTTCCAGTCGCAATGTCACTTGTAGCTTCATTTATTTCTGGAATTACGTTACTTGGTGAGTAAATAAGTTATTTTGTTGGGTATTGAAATGAAGTTGGCAGATTATTGGATTTTTTGGTCGAAGGTTAAAGCGAGGGAGACGATATATTTTTCAGAAAAGTTAAGGACCTAAGAAAATCGTCTGACATCAACATATTAAACGCCATACAATTTTAAAAAGTTGAATTAAGTATGATTTAGCTTCATATGAAGACAGTTGGCTTAGTAGTGCAGTGATCTAGTGCTACGGTAATCAAGTAAAATTAATATTGATTCAATAAACTTTGGTTCGAATCTCATTAGCTTAAATTCTCCTTTTTCAACAATTTGCGCTGGATTTAAGAGTCACAGTCTATGGAGCTATGAGATTTGACCTCTAAGCGTAGATTTCAAGTTTTTAAAAGCCTTAAAATAGAACCATAGCTTTGAACTGTATCCAACTGTCCGATAAATGAAATCAATGCAACAATAAACCACCTATACCAATCAGAAAATGAGGCAAAACTTGTCAATCAAAAACACATAAGAAACTATAACAAACCTCCATCAAAACCATGTCCATGCTGTAAATAAGCTCGTCTCTCTTCAAACTCAGACAATAAAAAACTGTAATCATCAACATCTGCTATCTCATTCCAGGAACAAGCACAGAAATATATTTATATGGAACGCAATATTGCTACATCTCACTCGCTATCATAATATCGTCCACGATTATGCACTTTACAATCATTCCAATATTTCATGAACTTCAAATTACTTCCACTTACGAGGTATGTCTGACACATATGATGAATCTGATTGTTTATGACTATAAATTCTCATAAATTTTTTGCGTAGTATCTTCAATTACGTTTTGATAGACGAGTGCGTCTTTTTGGATCGCTTATGTACTCGCTGGCTACAATACTATGGCTTCCGATTGTAAGATGACTATTTTGACTTTTTATTCAATCATGTTCACTCAAGTGTATGATTAACTAGGTAATTTATGTACCAGCGCTTGCATTTAACCAGACTACCGGAATAAATATTCACATAATTACACCAATCGTTATGTCAATATGTATTTTCTATACGTGCCTGGGTGGCATTAAAGCTGTCGTGTGGACAGATGTTATTCAGATGATGCTGATGTATGGAACGTTGTTCTTAATAGTCATCAAAGGCACAATGAATGTAGGCGGTCTATCGGTAATCATCGAGAGGAATATGGAAAGTGGTAGATTTGAGGCGCCAGAGTAAGCAGTCTATTGAAAAATATTATTTATTATGTGATAAACATGCTTGGCAAGCTTGAAAGTGCAATTGAATTATGGCGAGGATGAGGCAATTTAGTAGACATAGAAGAAGTTTTCACATTAAGGATCAACTTTGCCATTTTTATGAGAGACGTGAGTGATTAAAGGATAGGAAATAGGATAATGCTCAATGAATGTAGGGATGTTGACTTACAGACTAAGTAGATTTGGTGACCGACAGACATACAAACCGACATACATACAGACATACAAACATACATACATACAGACATACAGACATAACCTTCAACAAAAACTTTCCACAGACAGCCGTGTCTTATTATTTTAAAAAATTTTTTTTTTTCATCATCTCATAAGAAGATTTACAGAAGCTTAAAGCATCCTCATATATTTTGATCACATCATAAATAATATTTTCTTTATCAGTCTCATAAGTATAAAAGTAAACATTTTGATAGACACACTTTATCTTTTACACAGTTTTCGTATAGATCCAACAATACGTCATTCGTTTTGGTCAATTGTTGTAGGCGGTACTGTTTACTGGATTAATGTTAATGGCTTAAATCAGAACATGATTCAAAGATACATGTCTTTAAAAGACGTTAAAACAGCTCGAAAAGGGCAGATGCTGTACGTTATTGGTGTCACCTTTATGATATTCTTATGCTGCTTTAATGGACTTCTTCTGTACGCTACATATTATGACTGCGATCCACTTCAGACGAAACTTGCAAAAGCTAAGGATCAACTTATGCCATTGCTTGTAATGGAGATATTAAGAGACATTCCCGGACTTCCAGGATTATTTATTGCCGGTGTCTTCTCTGCAGCTCTTAGTTCATTGTCAACAGGTTTAAATTCCATGTCTTGTGTTATACTTGAAGACTTTTGTAAGCCATTCTTAAAGCGAGAATTGTCCGACGAGATGACATCATTAATTATGAGAGGAACTGTTCTTATCTTGGGTGTAATGTCAGTTGGATTAGTTTATATTGTGCAGCATATGGGCTCGGTGTTGCAACTCTCAATGAGTATTCCGACAGCTTGTTTTGGTCCTATGCTTGGGGTAATTATAATAAAGTCCCGGTTTGCGCACTTTTGAATGTTATCCACAAGATGGTGTTCTTTCTGTCGATGTGGACGACATTCAAAAGTGTGTCTCCCGGGAGTCACCAAAATTCAATTTCAATATCCACAGGTGTACGTAATTGGCTTCACGCTTCCATGGATTGGCAGGAAAGCGACATTACTTGGAGCTATAATTGCCTCAACATCAATGCTAATTCTTGTCATCAAGGCACAGGCAGAGATTGCACTTGGAAATATTAAATTCCAAACAAAACCACTCTCGGTTGATGGATGTACATACAACTTTACGATAGATGCGAACTACTCGAATGTCACCGACATTCCATACTCTTATGAGAATAAGGAAAAGCACATTTATGAAATTTCTTATCTTTATTACTCTTCACTTGGATCATTGATTGTGATTGTTTCAGCATTCCTTTTAAGTTTTATATTTGGTTTTCAAGATCCAAGTCAAGTTGATCAAAGACTGCTAGTACCATTCTTGAGAAAGTATTTCAGTTCCAGTAGCAAGACACAATACAAGGAAGCGAATGGCAAGGAAGCAATCATCCATAATTTTGAGATGAAAGAGACTAATAAAAATGTTACATAATGAAATTGTTTTCGACATTTGCTTTTCATACTTAAAGACATAAAAAGCTCAATTTTATTTCAGTGCGCGAACGAGGACATAAAATGTGGATTTTAAATGAGAAAATGTTGGTTAAGCTCTTGATTGTTGAAATTTTGTTTTTGAAACTTTAGTTAAAGTTGGAGTTGTTGGTCAACATTTGATTGACTTTTGACAGCTTTCTTAACAGATCAATTGTGATCTATGTCCTTCCTTAGATGGCACTTGAAGCTGGCTCTGTCGCTGGCAACCGATTGCGAATTACCAATAACAGACGCGTACTCTGGGGGTGGATTTGGGGGACAAAACCCCCTTCGTCTTCAGACATTTCTTCATTTTGCTAGAGTTTTTATTAAAAAATCCCCCCCCCCCCCCCACCCCTTCTTCAAATTCCAGGCTGACTAATACCTTAAATTAAATCACCGAAAAATCGTGTAGACTTAATTTTGACTATTCTTTCAATTCAAACAACTTTAAATGATTTAAAAGCACAAACAGGTTACTGGAAAAATTCAAAGACATTTCTACTTCATCATTTCATTAAAATTTAACCAGCTTAAGCTTAAAAAGCACAAAAAATTCAATAAATCGGCTTTATAGAAAAATTTTTCCATAAGTATCTACCAACAAGCTTATCATCATCTGTGCGTAATAAATTGAATTTTTCTCGATAAATTATTATCATCAACTGAGCACATTTACTGCATTGACATCTGATGATGAATACCAGTTAAAAAGAAGAGAATCAATTTAATTTTTTCAAAATGATGTTAATTGATTTCGAAAATTGATTAATTTCTTTTGTCAAATTCTTTGGAATCTCGTCCTTATTAATAATAATCTTTTTGTAATTGTAAGGTCGTTCACTTATGACGTCCAACATTTAAGGGGGGGGGGGGGGGGGGGAGAAGGGGTCAAAAAAACAATGTGTTTGAGACACATTGTGACAGGGGAGGAAGGTGGGTCAGGAAATTTGTGATTTCCAATTTTAATGAGGAATTTATAATTCTTTTGTGTCTTGAATTGGACGTCACAAGTGGATGGCGGGTATTGACATCTGTGACAGTTTTATGACAGAGGGCCAGGAACGTAACCAGGGGAAGGGGGGGGGGGGGATTGGAGGGACAAATCACCCGACGTTAACAAAAATTTCTTCATTTTGCTAGGAGTTTTATGAATAAATCATAAAAATCCCCCCTTCTCTCTGAATCTCCCAAATAATTTTTTTCCCCCCTTCTTCAAATTTTTTGGTGGACATCATTAGTGAACTTTGTGAGCTGAAGTGGCTCGGTGGCGGAATGGTTTAGTACTTCGGTACCTAATTATTGCAATACCGACACAGCGATCATGGGTTCGAGACTGGGTATGGGAAATTTTTCACTTGTTCTTTTTCGAATCATATGTACTGGAAATGAGGCTCACGGCCTTCCTTTGTAGGCTACAGACAGAAATGTCATCAAAGGAGTGGTTTGGATTCCACTATAAATTGTAGGTCTAGGTTTGAGTGCAGTGGTTTGGCGCATCCTCACTCGTTAAACTCTCATTAGCTGCGAATCGCCCTAGCGCACCTCTGGATCACAATTGATCTGAATAGGTAAAGGTTTTTTTTTTTTTTTTTTTTTTTCATTAGTGAACGGTCCCGAACAGAAAATTAATTTTTCTTTTGCGATGCTATAAAAATGAAACTTCGCAAAATAGTTCTGAGAATTTTATTGACATGAATTTCCATTAGCATTTATACAGTTGTAGTGATAGATAGTAAACGTAACCAGGGGGTTTATGATAAAACTAGGTGACAAAGCCAGTAATAGAGTCTGTTGCAAAGCTTTATAATTGTAACCTAAGCTCTATATAGGAACATGTTCACAGCAAGGAAGTAAGATGATGAAATCAGCGTTGACTAAGGCTTTTTAAGTTCTCAAAGGAATCGATTGACATAGAAACTGTTTTACTAGTAGTTATACTTTATGCTGAATAGAACATCTACGTTGAGGCTTCCATTTTGTGGCTTACAGAGGTTCGGCAAGGGCAACTTTGGTGCAACAAAAATAACAAAAATTCCAAAAAAATGGGAGACACATTTCTCTTCGTCAATAGAATTTTTATGATAAATAACCCCCCTGGGGGGGCCTAAATTTTTTTTATAAAAATCTGTTATCCTTCCCTTTTTAAATTCCTGAGTACACACCTGAATCACCAACTTTTGATTGTAGGTCGAACAGCAGTCATGCTCAAACTTTTCGCAATATAGACCATGCTGGTTTATTAAGCAGTTGTCCTTACTTGTGAAATGTTTAAGTAAACATCAATTAGGACATTCCAAATTACAGGAGCGAAGAAAAATAAAAATTTTTTGGGATGTTTGTATTTTTCCCCGGAGGTTCGACCCCGAAACACATCGATTCTATAAGTTCAACCTCCTATCTAGCTCGCCATCTCTGTCTAAAGAGATTATTACAAAATTCAATGTCAGCTTTTATGAGAAGAAAATTACCCTTTAAAGATAACGTCAATCTAACTTGAGATTTAATATAAAAATACTCTCTAAATATTTACAACCTCCACATACAGTAAATTCTCATTCTGTTGACTCATGCTACGTCGCTTTATATATATTTTGTTTTTTAAAAAATGAAAAAAATAAACTTTATTTTATTCATTGCATTTTGTTTCAAGTCGTCATCGTGAAAGGTTTTATATCTATTTTTTTAAGAATGAGTGAAAATCTCGAAAGTCAACAAGATGATGAGACAATTGAGAGTCTGAGAGACACTTTAAAGCATTTTGGTACTGCTGACTATTTGGTTTTCATAGCAATGTTATTATCATGTACAGTCGTCGGAGTTTATTTTGGATATGAAGATTATCAGAAGAAGAAGCGAATCAAAAATGCAAGACGGGGATCAGAGGCGATGGATTATCTTGTTGGAGGTCGAAATATGAAGATTTTTCCGGTTGCGATGTCGCTTGTTGCATCTTGTATATCGGGGATTGCGTTGTTGGGTGAGAATTTATTTAATTTTGGTGATTATTGTTTGGTTTGCTTGAAGTTGAACTGTCGAGGGATTAATATGGGACCACAAGTTGTGATCCTATCAGGCGCGTAGCTAGGAGGGTCTTGTCCTCCTCTTTGAACCGCAGCGAGAGCACGGTCCTAAAACGCTTAAAAGGGGACAAGACCCTCCTGGCTACGCGCTGGATCCTTTCAAAGGTCATGGCTTGAATTTGTTTTTTGAAGACAGCTTAGTGAACTTGAGCTTTGAGCACCTCTGGCCGAAAGCAGTGATTCCCAAACTTATTTTGGTCCACGGCACATTTTTTCTACTTGAAATTTCTCTCTCTCTCTCTCTCTCTCTCTCTCTCTCTCTCTCTCTCTCTCAAACACACACACACAAACACACACACACACACACACGAGTACCGTAGCACATAGTTTGAGAACCGCTGGTTTACAGACTAGTCATATACTGACTGTAATTAATCCCTAGAAATCACTCCTAGAATATAACAAGCAACCAACATCCCTCATTATTAAAATTTCAATAATAAATGTTAATCATTCTAGGAACAAGCACGGAAATTTATCTCTATGGATATCAATATTCTTTTATTTTAATTGGATATTTAATTGCTGCTTACATTCTTCACCATTCAGTCATTCCTATTTTTCATGAACTTCAAATAACGTCTGCTTATGAGGTGAGTTGAAATAAAATCGAGTCAGACTTTTTGGAAGCTATTACGCAATTTAGTGACAAAATTGTAATTGAATGATGACGCAGCTTTACTAGGCTACTGTGTATCCGTGATGAAATTAAAGTAAACAAGCAATTTGTTCTAAAATGATTTCTTGATTTTCCCGGTTGGAAATAATTTTGAAGAATTTTTTTAAAAAAAATATTAAATTCATTTAAATTTTGACCTCATTTTGCCGGCAACATAAAATACCTTTATACAAGCTTCTTTGAATCACACAAAAGAGCAACTCACAAAGACCTTTAAAGCCACTTAAATGCTTCATTATTCTTGTAAAGCTTGCATATTCATAAGAACTTTCCACAAAACATCACAACAATAATAAATTTATGCAAATCCTGATGATTTCCCCAATTTCTTTTTTCTAACCTTATCAGTATTTACAATTACGGTTTGACAAGAAGGTTCGCCTGTTCGGGTCGGTAATGTTTTCATTATCTACGCTTCTATGGATGCCAATAGTAAGTAGCTCAATAAACATACCTTTTACGAGGAAATTGAATAAACCTATAAATCTGTGATTCCCAGGCGATTTACGTGCCCGCACTTGCGTTTAGTCAAACTACAGGTATGGATGTTCACATGATAACGCCTGTTGTTATGTTCATTTGTATCTTTTACACTTGTCTCGGTGGAATTAAGGTAAGTGTAATTTAATAAAATGTGCGAAATTTAGTGTGAGAATTGAACAGCATGAAGTTCAATAATTCAATAAAGGCACAATCGTTGGATTTCCTTTCTCATTCTCCATTTTCATTTGAAGGCGGTTGTATGGACGGATGTGATACAAATCATGATAATGTACGGAACATTGATTTTGATAAATATCAAAGGTACATACGAAGCTGGTGGACTTGCTGTTGTTATTGAAAGAAATATTGAAAGCGGAAGGCTGTCGATGCCTGAGTGAGTCAATCCTTTTGTTATTTATGTTTGTTAAACGATTACTTTCAGAATTTTTGGAATTTTCGATGACGATTGTCTCTTATGTTAGACATAAGCAAGCTGAATCTGACCTTTTAGAGCAGTGATGGACAACCTGTATGCCGTGGCACCCATGACATCCATGGTCATACCTGAATAGCACTTGATGCCAGATTTCTGATCGATTAACCCAATTTTGCCATCCGTTCATGGCTTACCACTATGGTGTGACATGGCACGAAAAAGGTTGCCCACCACTGTTTTAAAGGCATAATCATTTTAAAGAAGCTTCAAATATTGAAAGGAACTGAATATACATCCGATCTATAAGACATCGCATTACTAACCTCTTTCTTCTTCTTCCACAGCTTCCGCATCGACCCAACCATCCGTATATCCTTCTGGACAATGATAATCGGTGGCACATTTTTCCGAACATATGTAGGCATCAATCAAAGTATGATTCAAAGATTCATGGCTCTAAAAAATGTTCATGTTGCTAGGAAGTGTCAAATTACGTATATCGCTGGCATTTTCATCTTGAATCTGATGTGCTATTACAATGGATTATTGCTGTATGCATCATATCATGACTGCGATCCGTTAACGACAAAACTAGCGAAGGCAAAAGATCAAATTATGCCATTATATGTTATGAGGATATTAAAGAATTTGCCAGGCTTATCGGGTCTATTTATAGCTGGAGTTTTCTCAGCATCATTGAGCTCATTGTCGACAGCATTAAACTCATTTGCAGCAGTTGTGCTTGAGGACTTCTGTAAGCCTTATATGAAAGATGAAATTTCTGAGAAAATGAGTGGGATAATAATGCGAGCGACAGTATTAATTGTTGGTATTATTACCGTTGCACTTGTGTATGTTGTGCAACATATGGGATCCGTTCTACAGCTCGCAATGACTGTACCGTCAATATGCTTTGGTCCAATGTTGGGCGTTTATATTATTGGCATTCTCATACCATGGATTGAGAAGCGTGCAACTTTATATGGCGCATTAACAGGATGTACTGCAATGATTGCTTTTATATCTAAAGTACAAACAGAAATTGCTCGGGGCAATATAACATATCCAACGAAGCCCGTATCTGTTGAAGGATGTACATATAAGTTTAATGCTGTTAATATTACAAATATATTACACAATGATGACCCTGAGGAACCGGAAAGAGATTTCTTTCATTTATCCTTCTTGTATTATACATTATTGGGATCAACAATTGTCATAGTTTCATCTGTGATTTATAGCTTCATATTTGGATTTAGTGATCCATCAGATGTTGATTTGAGATTATTGGCGCCATTTATTAGAAAATATTTTGAAGTTAAATCCGATGAGAAGGAACAGGAAATGATGAAATGTGTCAATGGAAAGAATCCACAGAAAATTGAGTATGATGAGGATGAACGAGACATGGCATGTGCAGTATTATCTTAATCTTTTAAGAAGCTTAAATATAGGATATAAATATTGATGTTGGAATTGAACAATAAACATACTTCTGTGCTCTAAATACTTTCTGTTTATCTTTCAACTTTAGTTTATTAAATTTTGTTTAAATTGTTTAAATAAACTTAAAATATTTGCAAGTAAAATTGTATGGAAATAATTGTTAAAACTTTATTAATATCCATGAGAACCAACCAAGTAAGGAACTTAATACTTTGTTTACTTGTCAAAACTTTAAACTTTTATTCATGCAATGTTGGCAGGATTCGTTCTTAAATGACGTAATGCACAAGAGCTGTAGAGTACAAAATATATCTATGCTCAGTGGTTTTGTCTCTTCTGTAAGTGTAAAAATCAGTAAGCAAGAGATTCTAATAATGACATTACCCGCTGCACACAAAAAAGGACTGCGTGTGAAAAATTATTCTAATGAATGATTTTTATGAATATTTAATCAATATAAAGTAAAGCTTGAAGTCGATGAAATTTTGTATAGAGTCAAGTCGACTTCGAGATCTGATTTAAAGCAGTGATTGCCAACCCGTTTGCTGTGGCACACAAGTGTAAATGGATATCATACGAACCATATGCTGTGTGTGGTTTTGGTCGTAACTTACCACTAAATTTTCCATGGCATAGAAAAGGTTGGACACCACTGATTTTAAGGATAAAGTAGCTTTTTATTTTATTAAGTAATATTTTTTCTGAAAATTCAAATATTGAATTAATAAAAGTAGCATTTTATTTTCTTACTTAAATCTGAAATATAAATCAAAGTAAAGAGAATCAACAAGTTTCTGAGGTTTTCTTTTTATGTGCTTCGTCCTTAATAAAAGTAAAATAATCATGATAAAGTGAAAGCAAATATTTAGGAAGGGGGGGGGGGGGGTGGTTGGAAAAATGAACTTTTTATGTGTTCTTTGAAGAAGAATGTTTGAAATTAATAAAGACAAGAGTTTAAAACAGAGATTGTTGCTGAGGAGATGTATGTCAGGTGTATAATTTGAAATGGAGTCAGTTTGATATTGCTCTATACCAGTGGTTCTCAAACTATGTGTCGCGGTACACTTAATGGGAAACTTAATTTCTTGTGAGGTACCATTTATATAATGCTTGAGGGGCTCAGTCTTTTGAAATGAAACCAATGCGATTGTAAATCTCATGTACCACATCCTTTAGACCTAAAGTTTATAGTGGAATCCAAACCACTTGTCAAGCACCGTCATCAACTCAGGGCTATTTAAGTAACTATAACAGGTTGAAGAGGGGCTGGCACGGGCGGTTGTTTAAACTTCCTTTCCCCCTGATCGACTTCAACATTAAATAATCCTGTATGTTGATCAGAAATGTCTCAAATACAACTCTGCTCTAGAGTTTAATTAACCGGTATACCGCCAAATACCCTCAACTTTCAACTGCCACCTCTTTATAAGAAATACCGCCTAGTTTCCGAGCCTTGAAATTTTCATTCATACTTAAAAATCTTCTTTTGCTATTAAAATATACTTTTGATGATTATTGAAACTTTGTTTAGCAAAAAAAGAAGAGAAAACGTGTCCAAATACGTATAAAAGAGGTTTATTTAAGTTGAAAATTTTTCTCAATTGCTTCTTGTTGTACACATGCTGAAAATTTTATTTGGAAGAGTACTCTTCTTGATTATTTCCGAAATGAATGAAGTTTGAAAATTTTCTGGTGTTTGCGATTGTTAATGAATTAAAGCTGATGCTTAAAAATAGAGTTTTGACATTAAAAATAAATTAACTCTGGTCCACATCCTCCTCATAATTTAATTTAAAAATCATCTAATGTCCCAAGGGCTGGTTTACTTATTACGTAACGCAATACAACGCCGTTTCGACCCCAATTCTCCCATCAAAAGATTCTGTCCCTGAAACAGTTCCTAACCCAATCTTTTCTCAATATAATACTTTAAAGCTCCCAAACCCAAACAACTCCATACTCCAAATTATTACTTACTCACTTCCTTCGCTGGTTGTACAGATCAGTTATGATACATGACCTTCCTTAGGGGTTCTTCACTTATGACGTCCAGGGGGGAAGGGGGGGGGGGGGGTCGGCAAGAAAAGAACAATAGAAATTCTTGGAAATCCATTGTTCTTTTTTGAAAAATGACGATTAATTTCGGACGTCATAAGTGAACGACCCCTTAGTCGTCCCCTAAAACTAGTTCTATCGCTGGCTACCGTCTGCCAATTGACGATTTCAGATCTCTATCAACAGCCTCTTTCCATGAGTTCTTTGGCCTTCCACGTGATTACATATCTTATATCCAATGTATATCCAAATAATTACGTAACTCTAAAAATAAAGATATGAACGACCAGCAAAAGAACAGCTGACATTAAATTTACATCCCCCTTCACTTTAAGTATTTGTCCTACATTAAGCAAAAAAATAAAATTTAATGTCTACACGCTTCTAAGTCTCGTGGATTTTATCACAGCATCAATTTGTAGACTTGGACACGAGACGATTGAATTTTAAAAAGGTTTAGAGGCTGACAAGCAGCAAGTTAATTTTATAAATTGTCATAGCAATTGATTTTGTGGTCGGCATGGTACTTTACCTTTTTCATACTCACGAACAGCAGACGATAAAAAAAAATCTTAAATTGTGGAGGCAAAGAGATGAAAAATTTAATTGGTTTTTGAGACTTGTTTTGCGTTGGAATTTTCAAGTTCAAAGATTAAAGGTTTGAAATTTTTTAAAAATATTGCAATTTTAATTTGGGTTTCTTGTGGCAATCATCATTTAGAAGAGGGTGTTGTGGGGGGCAACTTAGTATTTTATGTTGAATAGCATCTATTCAACATTGAGCATAAAAAGATTCTTTCTCATCAGTTGCCATGGTAATCACCAATAGCTTGCAACAACACAAAAATCCCTTTGAAGCCTGAAATTAAATATTTCTAGAAACTAAGTTGTGGAAGGTCACAAAACTTGATAATTTAAATTTTTTTTTATTTATTAAATTTATTCCAAACATAACTTTATTAAAACATATCACAGTTTCATAATAAAGGATCTATAATATTAAATTTTGAATTTTTTCGGATAAAAACAAGAACTTAATGTTATCATAAGTTATCTTTTTGGTATGCATGCATTATCTTTCGATGGTAACGACAAAATAACATTTTTTTTGGGGGTATTCCTTAAAAATAGCTCAACATTCTATCTTCCGCCTCAGGAATGAGCGGCGAAGGATTCGATAAACAAATTTGAGGTTGTAGCAAAAAGGATCCTTGAATATTGCGTCCTATTATGTTCTTTACGGAAATCATTAAACAACCCAAAAATTCGCTTCGTCTGTAAAGATACAACAACAAAAAAATATATAAGTAAATATATAATGACTATGTCATAGATGTATCAAGTCTATCATGATACAAGAAATATTTTTAAATTTTAAAAAACCGTTAAACTTACTTCAAATGTCTATTTCGATGCCATACAGCAATTTGAGCGTATTTAGCATAGTCGGTTATGCCATTGATTTCAAAGTTGAATTTGTGATCAAAAACGGGGCAAGTTGAATTTTTATGGACAGCTGTTCTTTGGTATATATTTTGATTGCAAACGACATTTAGTGGAACTAGTGCGCACTTTACGTATGCGTGGATTTTCGATTCGTCAGTTCTTTGGAGATTCTTGCATCTTTTGACTGTTGAATTGGAATCAAAACTTGTTATTACACTATGGGGCAAAATGAAAAAAAAAGGGACTTTCACTTTGAAAAATGGACTTTTCCGATTTACACTTTTTGGGTGATTTTTTCTTGTAGAGGACATAAAAGTAGATAGAAATGCCAAATTTCAGGTCATTTGGTGCTGATTTCGCGATTCTAGAGCTGTTTGAAGTTGAAAACTAGTGAAAATTCTGGTTTTTTCATACCATGTTTGAACCGGGAAATATCTTAACTGGTTTAAGATATTGCAAAACGGTTTTCAGTTCCTATTAGTAGTATATAAGAGCTTTATTTTGACATATAACAAAGTTTAGGTTCTGAATGTTTTCGTGCCATTATGGTAGAACATATGTGAAAATTTCAGGAAAATTATCTTCAAACAAGCCGCAACTATCATAAATGAAGAGTTTCCAGGCAAGTAAAAACGCAGTTTTGTAGCCCCATATATCTAGTTTTCAAAACTGTATAAACTTTGAAAAAGTAAGCTAACGTAATTGAGTTATGTTGATTTTAGTAGGTCGTTGAGTATTTGGCCAAAAACTAATAATTCTTTTAAAAATACGAAAACATAGTTTTAAAAATAGTTTTTTGGTGTTTTCTTATGAAAAATAACAATTTAAATGATTTTGTGAAGAAAATTTTTCAAAAACTTCAAAATCTTTCGAGATATAGGGGGTATGTGCTCTCCATCGATTTGGCCATTTGTCACCCTACTTAAACCACTATAACTTTTTTTTGAAAAAATATTTTTTAATTCTGTTTTCGGATTATTGTAGCCTAATGTAATACCTATCCAACGATATATAATACTTGCTAGTTAACTTAGTCCTGGTTATTTATAGGGCTGTTGATTGTGACATACGCAGTTTTTGAAATATTCCCAAAAATTGCATTTTCAAAAATACCACTTTTAAGCAATCTCGAGTATTTTTTTAGAACTTTTTTATGTTTATTTATGACATTTATGAGATTATAAAGCCAAAAAATTAAATTTAGAAACTTTTTACTTCCCTAGTTAACAACTTTGTAAAGTACCCTTGGTAGTCACTATCAGGTGTGAAAATCTCAGTTTTGAAACTATTTTATATATATACTCGTGAAATTCTCTCTACACATCATATCAGTTTTGAACTTCATTGAACAAGTCACTTTCAAAAATGAACCAAAATTCAACACTTACGAAGAAAACACTCTGTGAAATTCTTCGCGACAAAACGTTAAATCTTGCAACACAGCACACGTACTGTTTGGCAGTAATAGAAGAAATTCATGGGAGAGAATTAGCGGAATCACAGAAACCAAGTTTAATTAATAAATTAAACAAGCTGAAGTCAAAGTCAAAAATGTTTTGTAATCAGTCAAATTGGAATAATGCATTAAGAGATCATGCAGATTTCTATGAAGAGGAATTTGAAGTTGACTCACGATACTTCAGCGAATCTAGTGGAGGGATTCTTTTTGAGGAAGAATCTATATATGAAGCAGAAAATGTTACTGACACAGATGAAGATATGGATGAGATTGAATACATCGTCCATGACATAGAGCCTTCATCCAGCAAGGGCATCAAGAGGAAATCATTTGAACAACTAACAAGCGATAAGCATCGACGTAGAAGAGTGGACGAATTAGATATCAGTTTAAAAGAAGCAAAAGGATCATTGTTATCAGTTCTTCACTTGGCACTTCGCCTTTCTAAAGAAGAAGGAAAAGTAGAAGGAGCTAAAATGTTAAAAGAATTTATTAAGGCGTGCCAAAAAGGAGAGGATCTTCCAGAAAAAACTACATCAAAACCTAAACAACTAGATATACATGTAGCTCTAGGTGTAAAAGCCTTTAACAATTTATCTCGAAATCAGTACAACAATATTCGACAAGTCCTGAAACTGGAATGCGAAAACGTTTTACCGACAGCTAAAAAATTGTTGAGGTTAGAGAAACAATGCTATCCTGATGACATAACGGTCACCGATACAAGAGCCGTTATTCCACTAAAAAATTTGACACAACTCACCACAAAAAGAGTTATTGAAGCACACAATTCAGAAATATACGACAAAATCAAAATATTACCTTCAGAATCAACTCCAAAAGTTATTCATGCAGAAATGATCGTCACATGGGGGATGGACGGAACAACAGGACAGTCACAGTATAACCAAGGAAAAACAAATTCAAGAAATCAAGAACGAGATAGAACACAACCGAATCAAACGACTAATAATGAAATTATAGAAGACAAATCACTATTGACAGTTAGTATGAGTGTTCAGCAACTACGACATGAAGACGAAAACGGAAATTATATCTGCTTATGGGACAACGAAAACAGTCAATCTGTATACTCAGTACGACCAATACAACTTGAACATGCCAAAGAAACCAGAGTAAATGTTAGAAGGATATATGAAGATATAAAAAATCAAATATCAAAACTTGAACCACAGAGATTCATATGTGAAGACATGCTTTTGGAAATTACGTACAAATTCTACCCCACAATGTTAGATGGAAAAGTTTACACAGACCTTACAGAAACATCAGGATATTGCAGATGTCAGCTTTGTAGATCTGGACCAAACGAGATGAGTGACATAAATAATCTTGATAATGGAAGATTCGAAAAAACACACAGAAAATTTGTTAAAGAACACTTGTATTTCAACACTCAGCCACTTCATACATCAATGAACGTACTCACGACTCTATATGATTTGTCATATAAACAATATGTTCAAAAACACTGGCTGGAGATAACTGAAGAGGAACAGATTGTTTTAGATGTTGAAAAGGCTAGAATAAAGCAAGCAATGTGGGATGCATTTAATGTTCGTGTACTCGAACCAAGACAAGGGGGAGCTGGATCATCAGATACAGGAAACGTTGCAAGAAAAGTTCTTGAAAATCCAGAGCTTCTAGCTAAAACTCTATATCTTAATGAAGAAATAATTAAACGTATATGCTATGTGCTAAACCAAATTCGAAGTTTAGAACCAGTTGATGATCTAGATGAATTTGATAGGTACTGTAAAGAAACATACAGAATGTTTTTGACAACATATAGTTGGTTCAAAATACCAGTAACACTTCACAGAGCACTTGCTCATGCAAAACACTACATGGAAGCCTTACCATTACCTCTAGGAAGAATGAGTGAAGAAGCCGGGGAGTCACAAAACAAATATCTCAGACAAGATAGAGAACTACGTGCCAGAAAAACTTCAAGAATACACAGTTTTACGGATGTTATACATAGAAGACTCTACAGTTCTGATCCAGTAATAATAAAAAAATATATGGATGTAATAAATAAAAGGTTAATGAGAAAAAATGTCCAAGAAGAAGGTGAAACACCTGAGCAACAAACAGAAAATGAGGAAGAAATTGAATTGATTGAGCCAGAAGGAGAAGGTTATGACTTTTCCCAAGCAGAAAACTATGATTATTCCGAAGGACAAGACCATGAATATTCTGAAGAAGCAAACAACGAATGAATAAATAAATTTCATTAAATATGATAAAAAAATGTAAATTAAATTTCTTGACAAATAAACAAAATTTCATTAAACTAAAAATTAAACTTTATTAATTTTACCTATTATAGTTGCGTATCAGAGTATTTTTTTTATTACTCTAATGATAATAGCTTTTTTCAGACTTAACATTTCTTAAAAAAGTCCAAAAAATACTCGAGATTGCTTAAAAGTGGTATTTTTGAAAATGCAATTTTTGGGAATATTTCAAAAACTGCGTATGTCACAATCAACAGCCCTATAAATAACCAGGACTAAGTTAACTAGCAAGTATTATATATCGTTGGATAGGTATTACATTAGGCTACAATAATCCGAAAACAGAATTAAAAAATATTTTTTCAAAAAAAAGTTATAGTGGTTTAAGTAGGGTGACAAATGGCCAAATCGATGGAGAGCACATACCCCCTATATCTCGAAAGATTTTGAAGTTTTTGAAAAATTTTCTTCACAAAATCATTTAAATTGTTATTTTTCATAAGAAAACACCAAAAAACTATTTTTAAAACTATGTTTTCGTATTTTTAAAAGAATTATTAGTTTTTGGCCAAATACTCAACGACCTACTAAAATCAACATAACTCAATTACGTTAGCTTACTTTTTCAAAGTTTATACAGTTTTGAAAACTAGATATATGGGGCTACAAAACTGCGTTTTTACTTGCCTGGAAACTCTTCATTTATGATAGTTGCGGCTTGTTTGAAGATAATTTTCCTGAAATTTTCACATATGTTCTACCATAATGGCACGAAAACATTCAGAACCTAAACTTTGTTATATGTCAAAATAAAGCTCTTATATACTACTAATAGGAACTGAAAACCGTTTTGCAATATCTTAAACCAGTTAAGATATTTCCCGGTTCAAACATGGTATGAAAAAACCAGAATTTTCACTAGTTTTCAACTTCAAACAGCTCTAGAATCGCGAAATCAGCACCAAATGACCTGAAATTTGGCATTTCTATCTACTTTTATGTCCTCTACAAGAAAAAATCACCCAAAAAGTGTAAATCGGAAAAGTCCATTTTTCAAAGTGAAAGTCCCTTTTTTTTTCATTTTGCCCCATAGTGTATTAGTAAATTTGGTCGAAATGAATCAAAAATTTGCATGAAAAATTGAAAGTTTTGTAATAACTAAGATCTAGGTACACTGCAGTTCTGGGTATAATGCAGACTTAGGTATACTCCTGATATTACTACAACATCACTTCCAATTTCTCATTTTTAAAATAATAAATCAGCTGATTTGTGGCAACACATTACCACACTCACCGTGAATGGAAATATTCTTCTTATTATCATCACATGTTGTTGCTAGTTCCAATGATCCCTTCATCAGTAAATTCTTTGCAAACTTGGTTTGTGAAGCATAAGATGCTGATGATGTCGATGAATTGGAAGCAACTGAAGATCTTTTAAATTTCTCACTGATTTCATCGTAATTTGCAGAACTAAAACTCAAGCATTTTTGGATTGATGAGTCATGATGGACATTCTCCTTATCAGCCTTCCCACTGTCACTCAACTTTTTCCTATTCTTATTCTCATTACTTGTGTTCTTCCTTCTTACAGCATTTTGTCTCTTTAAATGGCAGGATTCGTCATTTTTTAAGTCTACAATTTCAACTTCAGTCTTTTGAGGCGTTTTCTCTCTCACTTCTCGTTCATTCTTAGCTGCATCATCAGCAATGATCAATGTTCGTTCAGCTGCTTGTGCAATTTTACTTGCTGACAACAACTTCTCGATACTTTTCTGTTCCATATTGTCACAAACGATGCTGAGTGGTTTGACAAAGTTTGAATTACGATCATGTTCGCTATGGACAGGCTTTTTCTGTCCATTGACTTGAGTTTTAGGAAAACATTGCTTGAACTTCTTTCCATGCCTTGCACTTGCTAGAATATCATCAATCATCTGCTGTAATGTTGTGTCACCAACTTCCGATGAGTTAAGTGACGGCTCAGAATCTGACAGACTTGAAATTGATGTCAATTGGATTTTATTGTCACTAAACTTCCTCACAGTCAATGGTGTGGATAATGGTGATGATGTTGTTGCCATTTCAGGCTTAAATTCATAAGACATGTCAAGTGCATCGAATTTTAATCTTTTGGATGGAATTTCATCATTATTGTCATAACTATTTATACTACAATTCAGCACTGCCTGTCTCTTATTAATAATTGGATTATGTTGAGCAGCTTTCATGATTAATGATGTTGGAGAGTATTCAATATCAAATGATGGCAATGTCGGTGCATAATTTGGTTGATAAATCACAGTCGGAGGTTCCTTAAAGAAAATGTCTTTGCTTGTTGCCATTGAAATTGGTGACATTGTTGGCGATGCTATTCTTACTTTCTCTGAATGTACTTTCACATGACTATGCTTTCGTTTACATGCTTTATGTAAATTACTACTGTCATTCAATGGCGTTGAACTTTGTCGATTTTGGATCCTCCTGACTGGCGTCAATTCTTGATTATTCTCCTTATCATGACTATAACTATTATTATTATTATTATTATTGCTACTTTGGAAATTGCCTAGCGATCGTCTTCGAAGATTTCTATTATTTCTGTGATTATCAGTAAGTGCATCTCCCATTGACCTTCGACTATGAATTTTTCTAACTCCTTTACTGCTATTATTATTATTATTATTATTATTTTCTGCATTATCGTCATACACACTCAGTGCATCGTCAGTGAGACGTTTTTTAACCGTCCACTTTAACATTTTTCTTCACTTCCGTGTCTTTCAATTCTTTAGTTAATGCTGCTTTCTGGAAAGACAAAAGAAAAGAAAAAAAGAATTTAAATGAATGTCCTGTCTTTGATTTCCTAAATGCGATAAACATGTAATATTGTAAATAAATAAGGGTTGGTCAGCAACAAAAGGAATCAAGACATGATGAAAATAAAATTATATCCTTTTGAAAATTGAGAAATCATGAACGGATGTCTGAGGATACAACAAGACTGTCCATACATCATAATCATGAATATTAATTCCCTGCAGTAATCAATATAATTTAAATAAAAACTTGTCGAGAAAATCATTCGACTGTAAAATGCCCAAAAAAAAAAGTTTCCCTTAAGGCTGGATTCATTCTCATGACGAACTTGCTTCTGTTCATAATTGGAAGAAGTTGAAGACATGCATTATTACACATTAAATGTGCTTAAAATATCATTAAATATCAACACGCAAACTATTCACTTTAAATGTCCATTATAAGGAAAGAAAGGAACCAGCAAGAATAAGAACAAGACACGACTTGTAAGATGAGAAAATATAATATTTTTTAATTAATGTCTTAAAAGTAATATTCAACGGTGTGATGACTTTGGAAGGAAATGAAGGTAGAAAAAAAAAATTTAACTAATTTTCTTCAATTTCTTGTGAATTAGATTTAGGCTTAATTGATTTAAGACGTTGATGGTGTTTCATGAGGTATGATTTTTTGATGAGAGAATTGTTTTTTTTTTCGAGGAATTGATGAGTGGGGTCATATGTCAGTGATGTACAGTAGTTGTTTAGAATTAGTTCTTGTTCACGATGGTTAAATCAAGTCACATATTTTGCTTACCACTGATATAATGTTTAGCTTTAAGCTAGTTGGATAGGCATAGCCTGTGGGGTCATAAACAGATTAGAGGCATAGCCAGGAATTAAAGACTATTTTTGGAAAATGTAAGGAGGGGGGATTTTTAAGATTTTTTCATAATAACCCTAGCAAAATAAAGAAATTTCTATTCACGAAGAAGGATTTGTCCTATAACCCCCCCCCCCCCCCCCCCTTGGCTACGCGCTTGTAATAGATTAAATTGAAGTTTCTATCAAGATAAGATTGAAACCTTATATTTCACCTGGTTATAAGTTTGATCAATGATTTAAATAATTTTTTGTCTATTACTCTTTAAACATCACTGATGAATAACCCCACAAACTTCAAAAATTTATTTTCCAGAAACTTTTGGTTGTTTCTTTTTAATTAGAATTTTTCAACACCTTGCAAGCAGCTTTAATTTTATGATTTCATGTTTTGAGCTACATTTTTCATGTTTTGTTAAAAATAATTTGATATTAAGCTATTAGATAGAGTAAGAAAGAACATGTAATGATAGGAAATGTAACAAATCATCTAACGAAATTTATAGAAATAAGTTGAAGTATGTTGCACAATCTCAGACTTCCAAACGTCCATAAAAATATAAAACATGACATAAATAGCCAAAACTGAAAATTTTAAAGTTCGAATCCTTTAATAACAAAACAGTCATTGCCTGACTGTCATTGTAGAATGATGGAATGTTGGTGGACAGAGAACTACTTGCAGGATGACACTAGATAAAGGAGCCAGAGTAGAAAGAGAAAAGCAAGCATTACTAGCTGTCAAAGTTCGAGACAGAAGCCTGTACAACTACTTTAATAACGTCCTACGATTCAAACAAGAACTAATCATCAATCATAACATTCAGAGGATAATGCAGCTACATGTCTCTCAATATAACAATCCTGGCTTGAATATGAAGCTATAAGGGAATGCTGGTAGATGTCAAGTTTAACAATCATGTAAAACTGTTATTTTTATCCTTTTCCAATCAAGCATGTGCTTCAAACTCCTCAATAAATACCTAAGATCTTAAAAACATTCCATATCATTAAATTTCAAGCTATTCAGCACCTCCTAACTTATATCTCCAATAAAAAAATATCCCAACTCATTCATTTCTGTTTACTCGACTTAATTTGTCAATAATATGTTCCTTAATAATAAAAATTTCAACAATAAATTAGTTAACGCAAAGATCTTTCAAGGCTCTTAAGTCGCACCACTTATTTATGACTCACTCATTCCTTTTAATGCTTTTCCGATGCACATTTTATTATTATTAAATTTGTCTGTGCTCGTTCTGCACCTGTTTTATCAGTTTTGTTGTTGTTTTGTAGTGAAAAAAAAAAGGAAATAGAATTTTATTTACAGGCGTTAAATGTCGACGTCGAATCATGCTGGCTGGCAAAAAAAGAACGGAACAGAAATCGAACATGTGGAAATTAAATAAAAAAAAAGTAAGTTGGACAAGTCAAATAGCACTAATTACTTGTTTACTGAATATATGCACAGTATCGCGATGCACAGCATAAGCAACATAAGTGCTATCAATTCTCAATGAATATTAATTGTTGTTTACCATCAGAACTTTCACTCGTGGATTCTTATGGATGCGACCAGATGGTTATATTATTATTATTATTATGTAAATGCTTTATGAAGCAATTGAAGAGGACACAATTGAGCTGAACGTTATAAATTGTTTCGTGTCACGAGCGTCATCAACAGAAAAAAAAATATAAAAAATTTATTGGAAATTAATGAAATATTTGAAGTGAACAGCAACTGTATCCAGTGGAATGAGTTATGTCCATGAATTATTCATGATTCTGTTGTATTTTGACGAATGCAAATGTGAAGACATATGGTCCACAAATTTATACTGTACTGCTATTGTGTAAACAGGGGGGAGGTGAGCCCTATCAATAATAGAGTAGTTAAAGGCTTCTTAAGAGTTTAAAAAAATTCTAAAGACCCCCCTCTTTAAATGCAAGTCTTCACCTATGACGTTCTCCATAAAACAAAAGTTTAGAACCCCTCCCCCATCTGTCACAAAACTGTCAAAGATGTCAATACCTCCCCCCCCCCCCCTTGAGATGTTCATTCATAGACACAAAAAAAATATAATTTTCTCACAAAAAAATTGGATGTCACAAATTACCTGACCACCCCCCCCCCTCCCTCCCCTGTCAAAATGTGTCATGAATATTAAGACCCCCTTCCCCCTTTAAATTTTCAACGTCATAAGTGAATGACCTCACAACTAGTCCATACCAAAAAATTCACTGTTTTATGAATAACAATCCAAAATATCACCGATCAGTAAGTCCAGCATTCATCTGAACAATCATTATTATCTTAAGTGCCAATCGTGCAAAAAGTCAAGTCACATGCAAAATTTATGGCACCAAATTATTGTTTTTTTTTTGCATATTAAAAATTATGTTCCTTACAAAAAACCGCAAAAATGGTAGCACACGGCCTTTTCAATCAGCAATTATGAGGGTTGAATGCCGACTTTTGTTTCTCATTTGTCATTTGTGGTTTTCGTACTCAAATTCGAATTCAATTAAAGTTATCAAAAAAAACAGGAACACGGGGTTGAAATTATCAGCATTCACTTTACGGTTAATCTCGATAATTTTCCATGGCATATACCCGTAATTGCATGTATTTCTTTTTTTGTTCCTTTATTTGATGTTTAACTGCGATAACTTTTCTCCTTTTTTTTTGGTTTACTATTTCAAATAAGGGATCTCCGTAGCTCTCGTGCTTTGACCCGCATATGGCACGTAATAAAAAAGGAGAAATGTATTTTTGAGTTACATGACTACATGGGTTGGTTATTCGATATGGTCAGCAATTCGGTGCATTTCATAATCATAAAATTATAATAAATTTTAAATGCCTTTGTATCCAGTTCCAATTTATGTCCTACAAATTTTTTAGTGGTTTTTTTACAGAAAGAAATTGTTGCTTTTGGGACTGTTTTATTGGTGAGTTTGTCTGTCTAGCTGTTGATCAATTTTCATGTATGTTCGTTTGGCTGTTTTCTATTTGAATGTCTGTACGTTTGGCTTCCTTCTAGTTTGTTCATTCATCAGTATGTCTATCTGCTACTCACTTTTTAATCTGTTCATCAGTCTGGTGGCTCATTAAGTCTGTCTATACGAAAAATGCGCTCTAGCCACTCAAGACCCAACAACTTTTTAAACGCAAGTTTTTAATTCTGACCGATAAAAACAAGAATTATTATTTACGGAATTGCGCGATTTCCAGTTGGTTTCCATAGAAATGCAATTGTGCAATAATAATTCAAACTGCTCGACTTTTAAACGATTCAGCATTGTTGGGTGTTTTGCTGTACGTAATTCTTAATTTCTAAAGAATTGAAAGCAAAAACCCCAAGCAGAGCCTTTTCAAATTAAACATTTTTTTTGCCATTGTATGATTTAATTTAAGAAAAACATTTGAGTCTTCTAGCTGCTTTTTTCGACTACCTGAAATAATTTCATAACGTAATTTTTTTTCATACCGTCTCTCGACACATATATCCATAAGGATATGGAAGTAATTGTTTTTTTCTCTCACTCTCTCTTTCTTTCATTGTGACTTGAATGAAATTGCTTCATACGTCTTCAACCAGAAGTCTAAGACCAGGTGCTCACATCATCGTCTGCAGTTGCTTTTTAAATTTTTTTCTCTTCTTTCATTCCTTTCTTCTTCTTATTTTGATTCCTCATGTCCTTGTAAGTCACAACTACTCTTATAGGGAAATGATACGGCCTTTTTACGTTACACTATATTGAATAACTCAATATCATGCTATTTAAATTCTGCACATAGCTTTAACCCTTCCAACAATTTTTTTTCGCAATTGAAATGAAATTAAAAAATAAAAAAAATTGTTCAGTTATTCCAGAAAAATTAGCAACTAGTTTTGTCCATATCTTGATATTCTCGAGAGACTCGTTGAGTTATCTCACAAACAAAAGGATTGCAGATCTAAAATGAGCAGTATTGTAGAGAAAAAAAAAGAGTATCAAAAAACCGCTTGATGGATTAAAGACAGCTGTGAATCGATGATCAACAAAAAAAAGTGTACATCAGACTCAAGAACAATGTATCGATTTTTGATCCAATTTAGTCTAACAATCTCATGGGTAAT